GAGAGAACATATACGTATGCAGACACCGCAAAGACCAAGACCGAGGATACAATGAAGACGAGTAACAAGTTGACTCTGAGTTTACTCAGTTATCTTGAGTGCCCCTGACTTGGGTGAACTTCTATAAGAAACCTTCCTGCTAGTCTCAAAGAAGACGTTCTGTTAGGAGACCCTGGAAGAAGCAGAAGCCGTAGGGCAGACACTGTAGCTACTGAGGAAAGCACCTGGCTGGCAGCTGACAAGAAGCAGTGCCTCTGTTCTAAAACTGCAAGTCTGCCAACCGCCATGTGAGCTGGACACGGACCTCGGACCTCCAGGAGACCACAGGCCCAGTTGACAACTTGTTTGTGGCCTTGTGGGACACTTGGAAGAGGGTCCAGCTGATCCCTGTGCTTAAGTGCCTGACCCTAAAAGGAGATGACAAACCTCTGTGCTGCTCAGAAACAGATGACTAGTGTAGGAATTGAGGTTTCAAAACACAAATACTAGGAACGAAAGAGATTACGTCAACGGTATGTGAAAAATCAAAGCAAAAGAACAGAAATCTTACAAATTTGGATTGGTGAGTGATAGTCATGGAGTTGGATAATTCCTGCCTGCATTTGTACAAATTTTGCAGATAAGCCCACATGTAACAAAGTGCATTGTGTTTATCTGCTAAACACCTCTGATGACATTTTCCAAACCACAACTCAGCAAACAGGTAGGGAGAGATCTGCTGTCCACTGTCCCACCTCAGTCTGCCCCTTTGCTCAGCACTGGGTACATTGTGTTTCTTCCTAGGCTTCTAATGTTAAGAAATTAAATACAAAACGACAACAGACAAAACTCACACTGAGAAATGCCTCTGCAAAGAAAGCATTTCAGGGCATACAGACATGGCTCAGTGATTAGGAGCATGGCTCTTGTAGGGCACCAGGATTCGGTTTCCACAGGATAGCTCACAACCATTCATAACTCCAGTTCCAGGGGATCTGATACCTTCTTCTGGTTTCCGTGGGAATTATATGGCATGAGTGCACTTACATATATTCAGACCAAACACACGTAATGGGAAATAAAAATAAATAAGAAAAAAATATTTATTTTTATTTTATAAGTTTGAATATTATGTGCCCGTGTCATACAGTGCCCACGGAGGACAGAAGAGGGCGTGAGATCCCATGGAATTGGAGTTATATAGACAGTTGTTAGCTGCCATGTGGGTGCTGGGAATTGAACCCAGGTCCTCTGCAAGAGCAGTCAGTGCTCTTAACCACTGAGCCATCTCTCCAGCCCTAAGCATTTCAGTTTTAACAAATATCCTCACATCCTTTGAACAGACTACATAAGTACACATAAAATGTATGCAAATATATGCAAATATTGATGAGCACCACCTTTATTTGGAATATTTTAACTACCACCTCTTTGATGGTGGAGTACTTTGCTACAATCTTTTTTTTTTTTTTTTTTTTTTTTTTGGTGTTTTTGAGACAGGGTCTCCCTGTAGCCCCAGCTGTCCTGGAACTCACTATGTAGACCAGGCTGGCCTTGAACTCACAGAGATCTGCCTGCCTCTGCCTCCCAAGTGCTGGGATTAAAGACGTGAGCCACCACACCCGGCTCTACAATCTTCTTTTAAGGCTTAATTTTTTTCTTAGTAGTAACCCCATAGGGGAAGAAATATTCTGGGCAAATTTAGATGAGGCTGGAAAATGTAGGCTAATGCACCATTAGGTTTGAAATGGACACCTCTCTCTCAAAGTTTTATGTCTTCCAAAAATGAAAAATGTGTTTTTCTCCAATGGTATCCCGTGACAAATATGTGCACTAAAAACCATTTTTTGTCAAATATGAGCTTACATTTTTGTTATATTTTTCCTTTAACATTTATGATAATATTCATGTATGTAAGGAAAACTATTCAGAAAATGTATAATGCACCGAAATATTTAATAACCACCTAGGAATGAACTATATGCTGATCATGATTATAAAATCTTTGTGCCTATGTGTGTGCATGTGTGCATGAGTGTGTTAAGTGAGAAGTGTGTGCTACTACGCAGGATGAATTAAAGAAACTCATTGCACCACTTTTTCCCCATAAATTGAATACAGAGATCGACATCTGCAAAGTTCTGAGCTTCTGTGTCTCACAACACTTCAAGTAAACACAAACTAGAAGATATTTTATGAATGTCTACTTTGGTGATTTCATACATGTAATATTGTATTTCCCAATCTATATAAATTACACTGCATATCTGAAAATAAATGGTTTTAATTAATGGCCCATGACTTTCTTTCAATCCTGACAAAGAGCTCAGCGGAAACATGATGAAAGGATAGTCTCTACTGTAAATCAGCAAGTGCTAGTAGGTGATAAACTTATAAACTTCTGCTATGCTGCTCTGCAATATTGTTCCAACTGATGAATTTGTAAGGTTATGCTGCAGGCTTCTGTGTGGCATACATTTATTTTCATCCTGGCAAGATTTTTCGATTATGCTCTAAATTTTTTTGATATTTTTAATTTTGACATTAATCAGGCAAATGAACATTCTGTACATTGGTAAGGAGAGAAAGGTAAAGTTAACCACAGTTTATCTATGTTATTTTCATTAAAGTTGTTTAAAATAATTTTCATTAAAATTGTTCCAAAATTTCATAAGCATGAACTGTAAAATATACCCCTGAAACTAAGCAGTAAATAAATCAAGTAAACACACTGCACACTGAATACAAGAGCAATATGCATTTTCAGCATAGTTTTTATTTGCATAGGTGGCAATTTTGAGAATTTAAAACTTGAACCCAGTTTCATATTGTAAAAGAAAATAAATGACTTTATGAAAAGACCAATAGAAAAGAGAATGCTCATAAGAAAAACTTTCAAGGATGCAACTGTTTAATAAAATTGTGTCACAAGAAAACCCATCATAATATGATAAACTGAATGTTCAGCTAGAGAAACGATATGGCCATAAGTCTAGATTTAGAAAAAAAAAAAACTTTACTAAGAATTTACTTCAGTTTCAGATTATTCAAGACATCCTCCAATTAAACATAAAACAAATGAGAAAATACAACATTTTTATATAATGGAGTTTCTTGGGAGGAGAGGAATTCATTAAATGTCGCCAACAAAATCTTGCCCGAGTCAACCTTTGTGCTCCTCATCACTTCATAGTACACCACACTAACTGTGAGTTCATGTATAGTGGATCCCTCCAGGAATTCTCCAGACTCTGGGGAGCACCAGGATGGTCTCTGACAGAATTTTAGATTTTTTTTAAACCATTCTAATAGTGTTCCCAAATAAAGATTTAAAATGATTTAACCCTCTATTCACTAACAAGAATGCGTATCTAGAATAAAAAGTGATTCTCATGTGCACATCCATCTCTCCCCATTTGCACTCCTGTTCATCATGAGAGTCAGAAACAGGCTGACATGCACTCTGTTACAGTTCAGAGCTCTGCTATGATTCGGTACAGAGTCCATTCCACTCTAAATGACAAGGAGATGAGCAGTCACCATTTTCTAATCACCTCATCTTCAAGATATGCACTTGTAGTCAATGTTTAGAGCACCTTGGTTTTGAACATTCAACTTCAAGAAGCACCCTCCCCTCCTCAGGGACCTGCAGTTATGCACAGCTAAATAGAGTAGTGGTCATTTTGGTGGCATTTTAGTGGCTGTGGCAGCATTGGCAAGGACCTGAACTTGGCCTACAATCATTTTTCTTACTGTCATCTACTGCACACAAATATCTAATGGCATTGCCCACGTCCCTTGTACTGCCAGATATGTACAAAACACAAGGGGGATGCAGAAATCTCAAGATTATTTTTAAAGATCTACTTGAGGAAGTGACCAAATATCCACTTCAATCTTGATTGGGCTAAATTTCAAAAAGAAAAACTGAACAGAATCAAAAAGAGTATTTCATTTCTGTGTCAGGCAAAACTTGCCCAACTCTTCCAGAAACGAAAAAAATCCGAGGCTTATCCCACCCTTGAAAAGACTGTGTATCTCAGACTATTGATGTGAAAGTCGAATTAGACGCAAAGTCTCACATGAGCTCCAAGAGATATAAAGTCAACAGTGAAAAAAGAATTTTTTTAAAGGTAGTTGAACTGCTGAAGAAGATTTTAGAATAAGAGTGTAATAACCGGAGAACAGGAAGCACACAGAGGCAGCATTTGCTAATAGAAACTCGAATATTCTAGTGGATCCTGCGGAGAGCATTTGTTAGGGACAGACAGGGCCAACCGCAGCTCCCCAGGATCAGGCAGAAAGAGAAGCCTGGCAGGAGAGGGGACCTGACCGTGGTCCTGAAAGACTCTGGTCTCTTCTTACCAGAAAGACACAAAACGCCCCACCTACGTGCACTTTTTCCACGTCGACCTAAAGAAGTTGCATATCAAAGATGATTCCTCTTCAAAAAGGGCTGAAACTTTCTCCTGTGGCCCGATCGGCCTTGACAATGCCCGCTCCTCTCTGTCCCTGAGTGTGAGGGCAATTTCAGGCTTAAGACGGGTGATGTTTTAGCTTTGAAAGGCAGGAAGAGATTAGGACAACCTCGCCACACCTGGCCTGGCTTGATGCTAAGTGCATTTCTTAAACTCGGATGGGAAATCACGAGTGTCCGGGAGAAAACCTCCCGGAATGAGGGACATTCCAAACTCTAACCCGGGAACCTCGGAACTCCAGAAAAATAAAGTATGCATCTCCCTCTGCACCAGTCCCCACAAGATGCTCCACAGCTCAAGTCCCAGCGAGGAGCAGGTCCGATCCTCGGGCTGCCCGCCAGACCTCACAAACCCAGGAAGTCCAGAGAAACAACCACACCAATCCCAAGTGCTTTTACGCTTTCTGTTTTCTTTGGTTTGGGGTTTGGCTTGGTTTGGTTCTTCCGCACAAAAGGGCCCCTGGCAAGAAGAGAAGGCAAGGTATTGTGCTGGCAAAAAGGCAGGAGGAAAAGTACGAGGAAAAAGGATCCTCGGGAAACTTACGTGTTCCGTCGAAGCGGGTGGCGATGGTGTCCAGGAAGGTGTTCTGCGGCGCCAGTAATCCTTTCATAACCGGCATGTTTCCAGCGCGGTATGAAATTCTCCATCAAAGTTTGTGCAGAAGGATGGCTCCGAAGGAAAGTGCCAAGACGGGAGAAGACACCGGGAGCGTGATGACGGCAGGGGCGGGGGGCCTGGCGTGGGGAGGATGGGGCCGGGCAGGGGAGGAGGGAGGATGGAGCTACTCCCCGGCCTCCACTCGGTGACCAGAGCAGCCCGCGATCACAGCTCTGAGCCCGCCCTCCTCATCAGCCCTGCACAGCCTCACCACTCCCCCCACCCTCCTCCTCCTCCTCCTCCTCAACAACCCCCACCGGCACTCTGGGCGACGGCGCCCGCGGTGTCAAGAAGAGCCAGGTGGCCCGGGGCGCCGCGCCCTGACACAGGGCTCTAGGGTCGTGGAGGACCGCGCCCCATCTGGGAAGACTGCAGCGCAGAGCCTCGGGTCCCCAAGGGCGCCCAGAAACACAGAAAGGCGATGGAGTGCGACTCCCAACCCCCAGGAGCCCCCCACCGGCACTCTGGGCGACGGCGCCCGCGGTGTCAAGAAGAGCCAGGTGGCCCGGGGCGCCGCGCCCTGACACAGGGCTCTAGGGTCGTGGAGGACCGCGCCCCATCTGGGAAGACTGCAGCGCAGAGCCTCGGGTCCCCAAGGGCGCCCAGAAACACAGAAAGGCGATGGAGTGCGACTCCCAACCCCCAGGAGCCGAGGAACAAAGACCCCTTTGTTCCCGCGCCGTCCCTCTCCCGGGAGACACAGTCCCGTGGGTGTGGTATTGTGGAAGGGGAGGAGACAGGTCACCGCAGGTAACCCGCCTCCGCCTGGAACTTGGAGGGGGAGGTCCCACCGTGGTGTCCTAGGTAGCAAAGGCAGCATGGGGCTCGGGAGGGAGGTGCCCCCCTCCCGGCGCACCTGCCATCCCCAGCTCCTGCATCAGGACCAGAGCGGCTCCAAGTTAGTTAGACGCCAGCCCCTTTCCCACTCACAAGGGTCTTTCCAGCCCAAGAGCCGAGGCTGTGCGCCCTCTCCTTTTTCCAACTCCTAGAAGGGAGATTCGGGTATCCTCCCCAAATTCCCGCTGGTCTCCCCAAACTACCCACATTGAAAAAAAAAATGGCCTTTTAAACGGGCAATGCTTTCCTACTCTCCCGTGAAACGAGAATAAAGCATTTCTAGAAAACTTTGCTATTTTTATTGATCTGTAAAATACGTGGAAGTAACCACCGAGAGGCTGCCTTGCAAAAATAGCATCACCATCACGCCCCCCGCGCGCACACACCGAGGCTCCCCTGAGACTAGCACCCAATGAAGGCCTGGCCCGGCGCCAGGAACTGCAGGTGTCTCGGAAAGTGAAAGTCTTTTCTGCCCTTCGTCCCTGGCTCCCGCGGGGACGCCCTCCCCGCCTGGGCCAAGCCCAGGAAAGCCACCAAATCTGGGGTGCATCCCTGCGGGAGGACCCGGGAGCACCCCAAGCCTGGGCTCCACGGAAGCCCTTCGCAGGAGGAGGAGGAGGAAAGTTGCAGGGCCAGAGAGAGAAAAACAAACGAAAGCCCAGGTGCTGCCGCACCCGGAAGGGAAGGAGGGAAGAGCGAACAGGTGTCTGAGCTGCGGGTCGGCTGTGTTCCCGCCGCCAGGACTGGGGCGTGGCGGCCGTGGGAGTGCTGGCCCCCCACTACGGCTGGCAGGGGTCGGAACGGAATCCCCGGGATCTTTGGGGTGATGAAGAGACCCTGGGGGTTTCCTCAAGGCTGTCCAGGCTGAGCAAGGGCGGGGGGTGGAGAGAGAAAGGAGGGATCCCCCTGTCCCCGCCCCTGATCCCCCTCCTCCTCGTGATGCACTTCCTGTCGCTGAGGATTCCCTTTGTGTTGAGATTCCAGATCCGGCGGCCGCACGCGGGGGCGGGAGGGCCCGGGATTCCGGAGTGGGCGGCTGCCCACTGGAGCCCCTGCACGAGCGGTCCCTCTCCAGCGGGGCTCTGCTCCTGGCCAGGGGTCCCCCTACGCCCTCCCCACTAACCAGTTATTCCACCCTGCTTCAGTTTTGCAGGGAAGCTAGCTAGCTAGGGTTCCCCCCACATGGAGCGCTGAGCGCATCTGCGGCAGGCGGCTGGCCCCGTCTTGGGCGGAGCCAGGAGGGAGAGACGAGGGAGTCCCAGATTCTGCTCCCGCGGTGCCTCCCGCCCAAGAAAACCCAGGCTGCCTCTGGACGGAAAAGTGACAAGTGGCTTAAAGCTCCGTGTGAAATGTATGAGCTGTAAGCCACGATTCGGATTCATGATGTTTGCACTGCCCTTCTGTGCTTCAGTGTGCTGGAGCCTGCCCTCCCTGGTTAAAAAGAAGCCATGGAGGGGTTCAAGAAGAGAACGGCGAAAGGAAAGTACCTTTTCCTGTCATAGTCTCTCCAGTGCTTAATATAAGCCCACGCTGGACGGCGCTAGGCTTGGCAAGATCCCTGCCCATTGGCGCCTTGGGCCTGGCCAGGCTGCCTGCAGCAGGTGCACCTCACCACCTCTTGCATCCTCTGTCTAGCAAGAAGTCTCCTTTAATGGAGACTCTCATCACCATTTTGGTCCTGAGTTCCAGGATCTCTCTAAGCTCTGCACAGTCAGAATCCCACCATTTTTCCTAAGTGTAGCACCTGGCGCACCGTTAGCATGTGGCCCCCTAGGAGTTCAAGCGCAGTGACTACTCCAGCGTGTTTACATTAATACACCCTCAGCTCAAAGACTAAAAGGAGAAAGGCATCCCGAGAGACAAGTGTTTTCCTTGTCCCCTGTCCTAAATCGCACATCCTTCCTTTAAAGGAAATTCCTGACTAGTGGGCTTAAAGAACCCCACCAGTCCTTGCCAGACCTTCCCCACTGCAAAGGGTTGAGACCTTTCTCTGTGGTTTAAACCAAACATTGCAAGGACAGGATGCATTGAACTATAGGAGTCTCCAGGAAAAAATGACATAGACAATGCGCATACACTGATTTGCTTACAAAACACTACTGCAAATGCCACTGGATTCAAACAACCAATCACATTTCACAATATCCTACAAGCTAAGCTGTCTGCAAGAGACACTTTGAACACCAATCTGCCTGCAGCCCCAGGGATGTAGCTTTAATGAGTCAGCATCCATGCTGAGGTGGGCTTTCCAGTGATGCAGCTGCCTTTGAATCACCCCTGCTGCAGTGAGTAACCCCTCACCCACATTCTTGCCAGGAGCTCCAATAAGCGCACTGGTTCTCTAACAGACTTGGGTGCAGCCGTTTCCTTTGTCGTACATGCTCCGTCTGTAGGGAAACACATTTGTTCATGTCTCCAAGGAAAATTCACACAAAAACTCCTTTTTCCCTTTATTTTCAGTCTGGGCCGCCAGTGTATGCGATGGGGTCACCCACATTCAGGGTGGCTCTTCCCTTTCCAGTTAATGTTTGGCAAATACCCTGGATGACAAGCCAAGTTCAGTCAAGTTGACAATAAATATTAGCCACCACACACTTCTAGTTCAAAGTTGTGCAAATATAATAAATATCGTCGACTCTCACATTATATGAGCCCGATTTGTCAGTAACAGTTACAAGCCACGGGTGTATGGTTTTCCTAATCTATTCATTTCTGGACTTCATTCTTTGGACTGCCTCAGTCCCTTCAAGGTAGATTCCTGTAGTGTGTTCATGGCTTCTTATTCTCCCAACCTGTGCCCAACTTGGCATACTTTGCCCAAACCTCCAAAACCATGCCATCAGGAAAGGGAACTGAGACCTGTCTGCAAACTGAGCTGTGCTGGTTATAGAACTATGCCATTCAAGCAACTTGCATCAGTCTGCAGACCCCACCCACTCCTGAGCCCAACCCCTGTCCTTCAGAAGCTCTGCAACATCCAAACATCTGGTTATCTGCTTCTTGGAGGATGCAGACTGAACTCTGTGTATCAGGTTTCCTAAGAAAACAGAACCTGGAGTCCTTTCCTACAGCTGACAATAAATCTTATATAATCATCTGGAAACTGCCGCTGAATTGGTTACTTTTATCACTTTGACCATCATACCTCACTGCAACAAAGGAGACAAGTGTTACTTTGGTTCATGGTTTCAGTGAGTTCCAGCCCACATACCAGAGACAATGTGGCAGGGGTAAGTGGTAGGGGCTCCTCATAGCATAGCACACCAGGGTATAGCGATCAAGGCAGGAATCAGGGGCTGGCATAACCTTCAAAGGGCCTGATCCTAGAGAACTACTTTAACCAACTAGGCTCACCTCCCATTTCCAGACCCACCCAAGATGACATCACCAGCTGGAAGCCTGTGGAGACACTTCAGACTCAAACCATGACAGGAGCAGAAAGTACCCGACATGTTTCTTTGCTGCCTTCACTTTAGTGACCCTTCCCTTTTCTCCACGTCTGTCATCCATGAGTCACCACTAGCCCAAACTGTCATCTGGGTCCCAATGTCAGAATTATTTGTTTTTTATTCTCCTGACCTGTTCCTAATGTTCACAAAATGGCTACTAAAGTTCCACCCACTGCTTCCTCCTCCACTCTGAGGGGCAGGTTGTGCTAGAAGAAGCTGGCTCTTGTTAATAAGAACGGTAATAGCCTGAGCGCCTCCATTTTGTGTAAGACATCTTGGTGCACCCTTCCAGACCGTACCCTGGCCCAGAGCCAGAAGTTCCAAGAAGGGCTGAGGAACACACCCATATAACCCTGGGAGGTGCAAGTTGGGGCTTATCTGGCTTCTGTAACTGCTTTCTTCTGTTACTTCTGTAACTTGCCCACCTACAGGAACAAACACGTGACTGCTTGTCTTTGAGTAAATCTTGTACCAACCACTCAAGATACAGACCTTACCTTTAAAACACTCATCCCTTCCCAGTTAGTGCAGCATTCTCTAAATTGGCTCAGAGCGTGCAGTTACTGCCAGCTAAATGAATTCAGCTGATTCGGAACTTTTTGAGTCTGAGTGGTCTTTTCCCAGTGATCGTGAATTCTGTAACAAGAGCAACTGAAAGTCTCTTGAGATTCACCCTTCTCAGAAGATCTGTACTGTGTCTCTTTAGCTAACATCATGTCTCATGAATCATTTGTAGCTGCAGAAAGGATGTAGAGCTTACGTGTTAACCTAGTCTTCCAGGATTTTTAAAAGAACTCGGCTAAAGTCCATCAGTTCAAGAATGAGTTTAGGTCTATTA